TATTTCGTTTAAGTTAATGAAGTACTGGTAGTTGGAATTTCCCTACAATCTAATGAGTAGAGCTGACGTTTCACATAGTCTTGTTTTCCCAAAAGGCTACTTTCCCATCTTAAACAAAATGGGGTGAATAGTTATTATATAACTAATTTGCTGGTAGTCTCTAGAACCTATTTATACACGAAAAATTCGACACGTAACTTTATCTTGAAAGAAACTGTAGTCTCGAGTTGTCATGGCTTTGCTCTTTCTGGATGCATCAATCCGCTATTCACGGAATTACTAATTCGGCGATTCCATTATGATGACAGAAAACGGGGACGTCATTTGCTAAAATATAATATCTGCGAGCCATTTACGCGACACCAATTTAGAACAATTACCACGTGAATATATTCACGTTTTCCTTCTTCATCCTCAGTGTGTTTGCCTGTGTCTGTGTAGGTTTATTTTTGTGTGTACGAGGGCAATAAAGAGGCAAAACGTGTTTTATTCCATTGATAAATTTTTCCTGAGATTACTTGTCCGAAGGTGGCATCAAATTCTCCATCATAATATGTAGTTTGCGTGTAGATCATATCCGCTCGTTTAATGGCTCTCCTCTTTCCCTCTGGATTGGCTTCCCACATACACGTCATCGTATCAAGGCACAACCACATGGGACCCCATATAGAATGACAGACCAAAGATCTTTTAAAGAAAAGCATACATGAAGATGGTACATTGCTCCTTTAACAAACTTTTCGTGTCCCAATGAGCTAACAATTTGCGAATCAGTTTCTGGAGTTAAAAACTCTAGAGACACCAGAAACTTATTGGTACCTGGCATACACTCTTACCCCTTTAAACTTTTAGGAAAGCAAGGACATGTGAAATTGAATGGAAATGTCAGCTCAACTCATAACATTGTGGGAAAATTCTTATTCTACTAGTCCTTCATCACATTAAACTAAATTTGGCGGATACATCCCTTTAATCTAATCACAAAGCGTTAAAATATTTAATAATTAATGGTAGCTATGAAATGGAAATTGTTTTACCTCTGTCAGGGCGACCTAGTTGGACGCATCCTGTACAGAGTCCTATTCTCTAGTAAATATCATAATTCACATCGTTGGGCCGTGGACTTTGTGTATTCCCAGACGTTTCGCCGACAACGTAATCAGCATCGTCAGTGAGTCGTGTCATGCCATAGCAACAAGCTACAAAGCATCACATACGTGATGCGTTCAACTAAATCGCCCTGACAACACGAGGAAGTTGTGAAAATGAGGTCAAGTAACTTTAATAATTAATAGTTTTTCTGCTTAAAACCTTATCGTAATTTTCACACTTTAAAAATTCTGAGGATTTAAATTTCTGATAAGAACTGACTTTCTTTGAGCATAAACATCATAAAATTGAGTCCAGAATTCGGCATCCTTGTCGGTATCTAGTTTGCAACCCTAAGGCTGACTTGTATTTGAAATAACTAAACTAGTTAGCAATACTTTTATCCTTCCTATGTCTTTTCTCCCATCTAATTGCCTAAAACATTTGTCCAAAAAGTGCTTTAAAAGACCATTAGGCTGCTCATGTCTTGAAAATTTCCTTTGCCACATAAGAAAAGTACAGGAAATACACAGTTTGGTTTATGAGATGACATGTACTGCTCCAAAACTGCACTGTCCTGGTTGAATTTACTTGTTATCATGATTGAAATGTGACTACTACTCAATTCCAGAGCCCCTTTTTGGTGCGAGCGACCTCTTAAACAAACTTTAGATTTCTCTTCAACTTTTTTCATTCCAAAGCACCAACCGACACAATTACAGCTTTTCCTTTTGAGACTGCTTTCTCTGATGGCCACAATATAGCTATTTGTATGTTGTGATTGATTGGGAAAAGTTGGATACAATAAAATACACCATACTTCCTCCATCACCAGCACACCAAGTACAGCTCTGCACAGGATAGTCTCCATACGATTTTTATATATACATTTCGAAAATTGCCCATAATGCTCCTTCAGAGATTTTCCAGCAAGTGATAGATAACTAAAATATCATATACATTAGATGCACATTTTTATATGTGGTACTTTAGTTATTTATTAATTGACGGCAAAATCGTGGTAGGAGCATTAGAGGCATTAAAAAAAAACACCTTGGGCTGAAAACTTGGTCACCAGGGCAACACCGCTTCCCGATCCTTCATAATACATATTCTGTGTGAATAGGAGACATGCTGTACACTCCGTTGGGCAAATATTATCCAGGATTTACTGAGCATTCATTGCAATGATTTAACACTTCTTTGCTCTAATGAAAATCGGCAGATGCACAAGGCACAATGTAAAATCCATTTAAATAATATTCTTTCGAGTTTTTTATGCACCAAATGTTGGCTGTTAGGTTAGAAGGCCAGGGCCAACTGTCTTTCCTCCCTCCTCGACACGTGAGATAATGCATACTCTCCTGGTTTGCTGATTACAGAAACATCTACATTTTCTGACGTGTAGGCTTCCTTAAAATGAGAAATTCACTTTCTTTTTCACTTTTTAATTTTAACACTTCGCCTAAATCGTCTCTCTCAGCCTCACTTTCAATCTCGTCTTTGAAGCTCTATAATCCGGCCTGACAGTTGGCCTGAGTCACGAGTCACTGGGTCGTTGCTACTCAAAGCATGCATTAATTCGAGCCGTCAGTTTTAATCAGCAGCAGAGAGCATAAAGATTCAGAATGACGGCTCTAAGATGGAATTTATTAACCTATTCGCACTATTCTCAAAGAAAGTATGGAAATACTGAAAAGAGTCATGATAATTGTGATCGAGGAGGCATATCAATGTCGCCTCGGCAACGAAATCAGGTGGCCAAAAGAGGTCAAGCATACCGTACCTGCAAAGCGAGATTCTCTCCATCCAAAAACTTGCGAACTCTGCCTCATCGACGGGTACTCGAGTGCTCACCTTTCAACTTGATACCCTGTTGACAAGTAGTTAGTAGTGAGTAGTTTTCATGAAAAAAATGTACAGAAAACTCTCCATGGACTAGTGCATAAAAATTCGGCTCAGAAGCATCCTGTTCTAGGTCATTTTGGCTTGAATTTCCATTCTGAAGGAAAAATTGGTTGGAAAAAATTCGTGCATTAGTATTACCGAAAACTTTGATGGGGTAAAGATGGATGGAAGGTGTAATGTGACAGATATTAACGAATCATACATCTTTACTAATATGCTAAGCCAAGAGAAAAGATGGCCAACTACAACCATGATCCCTTATCATGCCTGGTTTTTCGATTTTAATGAGACATTCCATGATTTGGTTGACCACCTCAACTTTTCTCTACATGCTTGCAGTTGAATAAAGTTAATTCATGATCAGGATTCCCTTTGATGTGACATTTTTATAACCGTCAAAATGTGAAATTTACATATTCTTTAAAGAACCTTAAATCCAACCTTAAGGCCTTCTGTCGTTTCCATTATCATTGTTTTATGTGTGGATTAATTTTCTAATGCCTATAACATTTTGTCTGCATCATAACTACCATTTGGTCATTTGCTTTGACGTTCCTTATAATTGTATTAACCCTTCTATTCTTCTACATGACCATCAATTAAAGGGATAACATGGCGTTGTATATATCCTATGAGGTTTTGGACAGATTCACCACTTTTCAGCATCAGCTTTCCCCCCCTTTCACCTAATTAGATAATTAGTGTTTCATTGAACCAATTACTATACTCAAATTTCTTAATTTCTTATCCTATTTTTAGAAAATACAGAAAAACTTTGATTGAACCATATGGAATTCCTCTGAGCCAATAACCTCGGGCAAGGTTTACCTGAATCGGCTTTTAATTATAAATAATGGGGGCAATTTCACAAAGGTTTCCTTAAGTCTAGAAGATCAGTCTTAGCCTTAGAAGGCAAATTTGGTCTAGAAATAATATAAAAGCTAGCGATGGTTTTACGTAAAGAATAAAGTTTAAAAAAACAAATGTGGTTCACTTGCCTGACAGTAAATTTCTTGGTCTTTGTGTAAGATGAATGGAGACAATAGCTTATTCATGTATGTGAGGAGAAGCTGGGCTCCAAAGACTCCCTTAATGAGTTAGTTTGGAAAGGATTTCTGAAATGGTATCGCCAAAAATCGAGGGGGGATTGCTGGTTAAGAGCAATTCACGAATTCCTTTCAACCGACCTTTTCTTCGATATGTAAACTCGAGACAAAATAACTTTCCAAGAATCTGTTTTCCCCCCTCATTTGATGAAAAAATAAATTAGGCTTAATGCTTACTATTTAATACATCTTTTCTTCTTTATAGATGACATAAAAACAGCACCCGTTTAGGTCGCATAGTGATTACATTTTTGTTTCTATGCCTACGTTGTAGGTTTAGCCTTCGGTTTTTTTCGCTTGTAAATAGATCATATTTATGTGATATATTTACCACATTTCGGTTAAAGTGATTGACGGACTGTTAGTTGAAGTTTAGCCCATTCATATGAATAGACCTTACGCTTCCCTTGAACTTCACATAGCCTTGCCTACCCAAAAGGTATTCTCCTCCAAGCAGGAGTGGACTGCAACCTTGACCTCTCCTGAACTGGTGCTATCAACCCCCCAGCGGGACTCGAACAAGGACAGTGCAGC